CAATACGTGGTGTTTTTGCCCTCTAGCAATAAACTGGGGGGGGTGGGGTCTTGCACATGTGACATCACGTTTCAACATGCCTATGGCTATGCAGCTAATCGCCCCATTTACACTAGCCCTCTAAAACCAATCTGTGCAGAGTTTGGACCGAGCTTGGATCAGTTAACCGTGCCAAGCTCGGTTCTTATGAGCATTTATATAAGCTACTGTAACCAGAATTTCACTGAAGGAGTAATCCCAAGGGAAAAATAAAGTTGAGTCTAAGTCTCTAAGTCAAAGTCTTTACACATCACGCTAGCATGGTTTCTCGCCTCCTATCGGCAGTCCAACGTACTACAGCTCTCAAGGCGGGAATTATGCAAATAAAAATGGTGGCACCCATAACATTCAGTAACTTATGTGCCTGGATAGCATCCTCCGCCCAAATTTCAATGACAGCCTCGGTGTCAGCATCATCCCAGATCACACCACGCTCTTTTGATGCAATTTATTAATGATTTATTGATAAGAGGTTTGTGTTGTGAACAGGCAAAGAGATCCGCGAATTGCAAAGCAGGACACGCTGGAAAACCTGCAATATGAGAAAGCTGACTGTAAAGAGGTGATGACATGGTCTGCATATTTGCTCTTTGTTATCAGAGAACTGAGCCACAACTAAACCATGCTTAGCCCTACTGTTAAACTAGCACTAGGTTTAGCACAGTTTGGTTGTGTCTGACATGGTCTAGTTCATTTGCGTTCTCTTTACACTCAGTTATCTCAGTTACAGTGCTCGGATCGTTTTCTGCACGTTTTCAAAAGGGTAGTCTAAATGGGGTATAGGGTTAGACAGCTGGAGGACATAGGGACTCCTTTTCGTCATTCTGCCTCACTCTATCTCTTTTCTCCAATTCTGCAGTATTTGTTAGTTCAACCTCTAATGTTATGCAATTTCTGCTTTTCTCATCATAGTAGCTTAATCTGGTCTGTTCCAGTTTGGCTGTGACATCATCCCAGAGAGAAATATCAGCTGTGCTGCTGCCATCAACATCTTTGTTTACAGATGTTGGAGCTTGGCCTGTTTTCCAGTGTAGTCCTGTTTCTCTTACCGTGACTAACTGTATTTGCTCTCTTTCATCGTCTGTCATGGAAGCTGGCTCAGAGCTCGTCTGCTTGGCCGCCTGTGGAGCTAGTTGCCTTTTGTATCTGGGCTCCTTTCTGTATGTCTGTTTTTGTCTCCTAGAACCCCAGTCGGCCTCAGCAGATGGCTGCTCACACTGAGCCTGGTTCTGCTGGAGGTTTCTTCCTCTTAAAATGGAGTTTTCCTCTCCACTGTCACTGCAAGCATGCTTGGTGTGAGGGATTGCCTTCGAGTCAATGCAGCTGGTTTTCCTTAGATAGAAAACTTTGAACCAATCTGACTGTATGATCCTGTTGAATTGACTCTGTAAAGTGCCTTGAGACATTTGTTGTGAATTGGTGCTATATAAATTAACTCAATTTAATAAAAAATGTAATTTAAAAAAATCCCTAAAGTTGCTGACTAGCTTTTTGGATGATTTTATTTCCGTGTCTCATTAATTCTTAAATTTATTATTACTGGTGATGGGCTCCCAGTCTTTAAGGTTGGGAGGCCTTTCTAACATCCCCCGGATCTTTAGATTGCTTCACAGGACTCCGGCTGAACCCATTCAGAAAGGATAAAATCAATCAAAATATTAAAACAAATACAAAAATATAATAAATGATTTTTTAATATTTTTAAATGACTTTTAATTATACATTTACTGCCCCTATAAAACTTTCTTCTTCAGGAAAAAAAATATATCTCTATTGCACAGACATATTAAAAATACCAGTTTCAGACTTCCAAAAGTAACTCTATGTTCATAATAGGCATATGCATTTGCTCAGACCTTTAATTAATTTCAGGGCTCTGAATGAGAAAAAAGGACATTTGATCTTTATTAAATTAAATGAAGCATGAAATGCCTGGTGATCAGGGCACAAATAAAGAACCCAGCGTGATTTGGTTGTTTTGATTACTGCAATTCGACGCAGCTGACATCTTCGCATTAACTGAACAAGTCCCTGAATGTCCCATGAGGCGGGTGGTAATGTTTTTGCTGGCTAAACATTTGGCAATAACAAAACCACAGTAACCATTCATTAGTCTGTCATTTCTCCTCTCCTTACTGCAGTTACCATCAGCACCAGGTAACAAGAATATGTGGCAGGCGGCCTAATGTGATTTACAGAGATGAATGATCTATAGAAAAGCATGAGGCTAGTAATGAGCTGCACGATATAAATCCTGCTGCACTGGAAAAGTGCTGTATGCCTCATATTTGTTGTTTGTTCTGGGTAAAGGGATTAAATGACTGTAAATATGGAGCCAAAATTACAAAACACTACATTAAATGTGGAAAAAACAAAAATATAGGGAAAGTGTATGAATTATGAATTCTGCCAAGGTTGGCTGCTTAAAACCGTGAAATATAACTTTCAGTTAGGGTCAAGTTATACAATAAACCAACAAACATGGAGATGAGCATCTGACAAAGCTCCTGTATGGAGTTATATCTACAAATACGGGGTATCTAAGGAATATATCACAAGTTATCAGAAAAAACTGTGATTTACGATAACTGCTTAAAATTACAATAATGGTTTTTCTTGTGATATATAAAAAAATACAGTGCATCTGGAAAGTATTCACAGCACCTCACTGAAAAAAGATTTATTTAATACAATCTGGACTAAGGCGGAAACATAAAATTTTGAAAAAGTGGATGTTTATCTGCTCTGGGTTCATAGCAAAATAAAACAAACAAAAAAAACAACTAATACATCATGGGGTATGATTCGTTCATCTGTGGAATGGTGACAGAGAAGGAAGATTTTGACATCCAGAATGTTAGGACTGCTGCACAGAAATCTTCACATCGAACTGTTTTATATGCAATGTTGCAGGCTTCTCCGCAGGATTTTTCTGTGTTTTTTTATGAGCATAGCTGGGCGAAGATAAATGACGTCATTGCATAATTTCCCTTTTATAGATAAATCATCATCAGCAAGACAGAAAGCGACAAAAAATTCTCCAATTACATTAAAAACTCAAGATAAACACTAGAAAACACTTTCTACTTATCCAGAGAATGTGTTAACCTGAACTAAATATACTTTATACTGTCCAATTTAACAGGCAGTTAACAGAGATACACAGTGGATAGGTTGTGTATGAATCAAATGGAGTGAAGATCTATTTTAGAACAAAAGCTTCAAAAAAAAAAGATAACATGAAACATTTCACTTTGCAACTGGGTCCTGGACTTCCTGACCAACAGGCCGCAGTCTGTGAAGATCCACAACATCTCCTCCTCCACCACAGTCCTCAGCACTGGCTCTCCACAGGGCTGTGTGCTGAGTCCCCTCCTGTTCACGCTGCTCACATATGACTGCTCTCCTCTCCATCCTGGCTGTCATATTGTGAAGTTTGCAGATGATACAGCAGTGGTTGGAAACATCACAAACGGTGATGAGTCCAGCTACAGACAGGAGGTGGAACACCTGGAGGGCTGGTGCAGAGAAAACAACCTCTGCATCAACGTCAAGAAAACGAAGGAGATGATTGTGGACTTCAGACGGAGCAGACACGCCCATCTCCCCCTGCT